TATATATGTCCACGCTAACCCCCCCCACCCCACACACACACACAATTCTGGAGCTAGCAAGACCAAACTTGTCAGGCAGGCTTGGGGTGGCATGGAGTGTCTGTAATAGATAACACAGACTCCATACCGAGAGGTGCTAAAACGTTCCTGGAAGGTTCAGACACGACAGGGGTCAAAGAGTAGATCGCTGAACACGAACCTAACATCGGTATTTGTGTTCCTTGCCCCTCTGAATTCGGGGGGACATAATGTAGAAAACTGAATTCATACCCCGCTAGTGCCCAAATACCGTGGACGTGTTCCTAACGGGGTTTTCTTCGGTTATGGAAACCCAGCTGTGGTAGCTATAGAAATAATTGGGGTTAATGGAGAGCTTGATCAGTATACTGGGGTGTTTGAGAATCATGAGACGACCTTTAGCCCTACAGCATAGAGGGGTATTTCATGCTAGTTATACGAATTGTCATTTGTCAGCCTTATTTAATAATTTAAGTGGCATGTTATACTTGCCACAAAGTTAATAAGGGTAGTTAACATAAATATTGCCATTTATAATCTTTACTTCTAAGTGTGCATGTTTGAGTCTATTTACAACCGCTTACACATAAATTACTAAAACAAATTGAGCTATTACGGTAAGGGTGGTAAAACTGCTTTAAACGTTGTGCAAAAACTACACGCTTATGTACATTTGGGACCAAAATACATTTACATGAGGGATGGTAAAGTTACTAAATTATCGTAATACATTAGTTATTCCTATTCAGACGTCTGATGGCGTTTAAAAATAGTGAGTGTTATATTCTGTTTAGTTCAGAAAAATATCCTCTGACCAATCGAATCTGACAATTTAAAATATTTCAGCTCTCAGGCCATCTGGGTCGACGGTATTACAGTTTGTTCAGTGGGACTTTAAGGATTATGGTAGGTGGTGGGGGTTCACTGATGCAATTTTTTTCACTGGTTAAACTAAAAGAAGTTTCGTATGAAAGAGGTACTTACAATAAACTATCATCTGTTTCTCTTTGGAATCTGTGCCTGACAGGGATCCAACTGTACACGTGTACATACCACTTAGATCTATAGTAGGTCTAAGGATCTTTATAGCACGATACTTGGTATAATCGCCGGACGGAGATACTGTATAGTTCATATTGACTCTTCCTTCTAAACGATAAGAAACGTGTCTAGAGTTCAACTCAGGAATCCATTGGTAAATTGGCTCTGGGTCGTTATTCAAGAACCATTTAACAACCATCGATTTATCTTTTTCAGTGAGATTGTACTCACAATCTAAAACTACCGCTTCTTGGCTTCCGCTTTGGATCCAAGGAGGAACAGACATACGTGTTATCTGAAGAGCTGCTAGACCTGTAAGAAACACACGGAGACAGATATAATATATTTCAAGATAAAAAACTTAATCTATCGAGGTCTTATCTTTGATAATGATGACTGTCATGAAAAGGTGTTTTACACGAAAAGTTCGAAGATATTCTCGACAAATGCAACAAATGTACTAAATTCTTCGTTAAATACGGATCTTCTCTGCATAACTTTTATCTTTTATGTAAACTCTGCAGTTAAACATAAACTTTTTGAATATATTTAAAGGCAAACTAAATTACTAAACAACATTTTATCAATAATTGTACCTCTAAAACGCAAGTTTAACAATATACGCATGAAGAATTATTCCACATTTAAATTAAAAGGACATTTTATATTTTAGTAAAATATGACGTTGAACTTGTGTGTATGTCAAACATACTCAGAGTACCCGCCGCAGACCCTAATTTTAATTTGCTGACCTGAGGGAACCAGTTAGTCAGCAACACCCACTCCCCATGCCAAGAAATTGTATTATATGTCATTGTTATAACACACTCACAGATTAAAATGAGGGGGATATTTTTAATATCGCCCGGCTTCAAACCCGGTGAAATAATACTGACATCTAGAGCTTTACCACAAGACAAACACCGCACACAAAACAACCTTGAAACAGAACCCTGTAAATTATATTCGTGTTTGAACCCTAAAGTTTTTTTGTTCAGTTTACTACTTAAATTTGTGGTATAAAATAATCTGTAAAACATATTTTACATTAATATATTTAAAAGATACCTAAAACAATGGTTTCCAAAACATTTACTGAGATAAGCCCCCCCCCCCCCCAGTAGCACAGCGGTATGTCTGCGGACTTACAACGCTAGAATCAGGGTTTCGATACCCGTGGTGGGCAGAGCACAGATAGCTCATTGTGTAGCATTGTGCTTAACTTCAAAAAACAAACTGAGATAAGAAAATGTGCAGACAACAAATATCGTTAAAACATCTACCACAACTGTACATAATAATCGTATTAAACTAAAACTGACGACAATAAATAAATAAATATAATGCAAACTACAAAAATATGTTTAAAACAACACCAACAACAAAACTGAAGATACATAATTTCAAACTAAGTGTTTCATGTGCTTTGTTTGTTTCAATCTTAAGTACTTTCCTTACAACTTTCTTCTTATTTTTCGATAACTTGCGTTTTAAATGAAAAGATTCGGCATATTTTTCATTTTAAACATGAATAAAAATTTGTTTAGCTTGCAACAGACAACGTGACCAAAAGCTACAATGTTATTGTTAAATAATCGTTTCGAGTTATAGAATAATATGCTAAATGCACATTTTTAGACACCACCCTTTCGTGTATTACTTCCTCGATTTAATTTTAAAATACCAAACATTAATGGTTCTGCATATGACACGCAAAAACTTATTTTTGCTGTAAATATAGTTTTCTGTTTTTCCGCTCTTATTGCTGACTGGTCAATATTCGTTCTCAATTTATATCATTGCTTTGATAAAATTGTTTCTACATACAATGCTTTATACTTGTGTCAAAATGCTTATTGTCACAATTTAGATTTTATTGATATAAATCTTATTATAAAGATAAATATTTTTTATTTTGAATATAAATGTTTTGTACAGGTTTATTTGGATAGAAAATGTGTTTTCAGTTATATTTTTTAAACACTCGTAGCACGTACAAAATTCACTGATGACCAAATACACGTGAACTACAGTTGGTATACGTAGGTTACTTAGATTAATGTACTGAAATGTAATACAATCACCTTGAAGTTTGTCTCCACCCTTCTAGTAAATGTTTCAATAATTTTACTAGAGAATAAATATCTCAATTGCTTCCTATATCTAAAGGTATTTTTCAAAAATATCCGAATTATATAAAGCAATTAGAATTTGATCGAGTTTCTAAAGCAAAAGTAATATTTAAACAGATGTATGGGGAAATTATTAATAAAGTGAAAATCAGGAAAAAAAATTGTAGAAATTTTTAAATATTTAATGATATTAAGTGATATTCTACACTCATTCGTTTCACGATTGAATAGTGCCACGACTCTATAGTTTTAGGAAATATACATTGTTACACATTGCAGACACGTTTTTTTTTATTGATTGTATTACAGATTTCATTTCTTCTTGGGTAAAATTGAAAATATAATGTGACATACCGAATAATTAGGTGCAATACCATGATATTATTGACACACGCCTAAATAAAGTTAGGTTACTAGATGGTAAGTTAAAGTACTTTTGTTTATATGTTAAGCACAAAACTGAACAATTGACTACCTTTAATGTGCTCAACTCAAGAATCGAGCCTCAAATTTTATCGTTTCGAGCCTTTAAGATTATCGTTGACCAAAGGAAACTATCCAGACAAAAATACAACAAACGACAGTATGCATTTAATTTGTTTTTTAAAGATTGTGGCAAGCATGTTGCCCCTTTTTCAGGTTCAGCTGAGTGATTTGAAATTCAACTGACTGTTAGGGTACGTAAGAATTTTGTATACATGCATTGTATCACATTACAACAATTTCCAGCTCATATAATTTAACCGTTTACATATGAATTAATAAATATGAAAATTATACCAATATGGATTTGCAAGAATTTTTGTTATCATTTTTTAAAGCTTTCAGTGCTGACTCAAGGATGGAAACTATTTTCAACGAAGACGACAAACAACTTCAGATAAATGTTTATTTATTCTACCAGACGTTTCGGCTTACGCCTTTTTTGAGAGTCTATGAAAGTCACAGGTTTTCTGTAACCTGGGACATTCCTGAACCCTTGAAAAAAAAAGGAAGCCGCTACGTCTGGTAGAGTAAATAAACATTTATCTGAAGTTGTTTGTCGTCTTCGTTGAAAATGCTTTCAAGAACTAAAGAATAATAATAAAAGAATCATTCCTCTGTTTTCTAATTTCTGTTCACAGGTGGTGTGTGTTTTCTTATAACAAAGCCGCAGTAGGCTATCTATTGGTAAAGCAAAACTAAAAGTAGTTAATTTGTGTTTACTAAGGTCTTTCTCGAGCTTGTTTCAAGTGTCAGAAAGCTGTCCAATATCATAAGCTTTAATCACCGACGTTGTACCCTTCGTCGTTATTTTGCTGTACAATTAAATTAATGGCCAATGTTTGAATACTTTTATCAAAATTACACTCACAGTGCTTGCTTTCTGTTACAATGATATAAAGTTGCTGTAATAGAACACCTATAATTGTTCAACTCTGAAACGTGTAAACATATGTCTTTTGAAATATTTGAATTATTTCGAGCAGAAGAATAAACGACGATGAAAAAGAAAAATATTCATTTTAAAACACGATCAACTTTTGACCAAACCAATCTATTTATATCGTTATTATTATCATTTTATTAGAGAAGAGGTTAGCTTAGGTTTAAGCAACGTTCATATGGAAAATTGTAC